TGTTTCTTTCTCTGAACTCTCTACTGCTTTCCATTAAAATTTCATCACTCCCAGCACCTGGATTGGCTGTTCTCCAATTCTGCTCTCTGCACTGTGCAACAGTTCAATGACTCTGCTCCAAGACTGATGGTGGCAGTGACCACCTGATCAATGCCCAGCTGCTCTGAGGTCACCCTTGCTACAACAACCAGTGTCACAATGAGCCTGCAGCTCCAAATGCAATTCTGGGAGAAGGTAGTGTAGTAAAATGTGCTTTGGCAATAGAGACCTTCCCAGATTCCACAGCAACCAGTGCCACCCACACAGCAAAAGGCACTCATGTGACAGGTGTGTCACTGGCTCAAGACAGAGGATGCCAGAAGCAAAGCTGTGTGTTCAGAGGCTCCAAAGCCACAGGAAGAGCTGCAAAGCCATCCTCAGGCTGCAGAACTGGGTCACAGAACAGGGGCATTTACTTTACATCAGTCTGTGTGCAAACTTTGCTGCTTTGGGCAGTTCTTGAAGTTACTCTTTCAAGGATGAGCATGAAGGATCATCCTAGGGGAGAAGGAGCAAGAGCTGTGTTTGAGCTGTGCTAACTGGGCTTCAGAGCTGGGCTAACAACTGCTCTGGCAATAAACTCCTGCTCCAGCTCTATCAAAGTAAGATTAAGCCAGACTCATTCACTCTGCATTAATTTAGTAGTGCCCATAGTAGAGTTTTTCTGCTTTGGTTTGCTCAAAGGTCCTAATTTAGAGATGTAAGAACAAATTCCAGCAGGGAAAGTGCACATTCATGCAATGCTTATGAACACAGGAATCATCTGGTGACCAGCAGCTCTCAGATCTTCTCTTCTTCCGTGACCCAGTTTGTCTCAACTGCTTTTCACTTCTTTGTTTAATCCCATTTTCCTCAATGAAAGTTAATTAAAGTTGGAGGTGAATTAAAACTGAGCAGCTCTCTCTCTTCCAAGAGCGTTGGAGCATTACACCAGAAACATTTCCCATTTTTCATGCTGACTTACATTTTGCAGCAGTTAGACTGTAAAAGAAATCTGAAATATTGGCATTTTTTGGCTGATGGCCTTCAAAGCTGTAGTCACAACAGCTGCAACTGCAGTGTTGACACAGAAGAATTACTACATGAAAAGCAATTAAGTATATTTAATAGATCCTCTTATGATTTGGAGTCCAACAAAGCCCTTTGGAAAGAGGAAGGAGGAGCATTCACTTGAACATGTCACAGCAGCAGCAGCAATTGTTTAAGTATATCTTCAGGGCAGTGAAGGAAGCAGCATTTCTCCTCACCTACTCATAAATCAAGCTATAAAGTTGGTGAGTCATGTGCAAAGCTACCTAGAGGTGTTCTGGCACTTCAGGAAAGCTACAGGAAAAAAATTCTTTAAAATTGCATATGTAAATCTGTCCCTGCCTTTTGGGGATAACTGACCAAATTTCTTAAGTTTCCATAAATAGAAATGTCAATCCCAATAAATACAACTTGACATCTGAATCAAGGATGTCAGTCTATTTCATAAACTTCTTTTGAGGCATGTTGCAACACCATAACCATTCAGTTTTCAGTTTGGAAAAATGAATAAGCCCAAACCACTTTCTCCAGGTCACCTTTTGCACTAATGAAGTAATTTCCAGTTAGCACCAATCAGCATGTTTGGATATGGGAGAGAAATATACATAATTTTGTCAGTTGGGTGCAGTTTCACTAAATCTAAAAAATCTTTACCACTCAGCAGGTGGGAAAGTGGGGACTGATGTTAAAATGCAAATGAAAGCAAAGGATGAAAAAAGAATCCTTTCATTTAATCAATTTTTTAAGCAGCAGCAAGCCCACATCCTCCCTTGCCAACACCAGAGATTATAGTAAAGAAGTCATTTCAGAATATCAATAGTGTACAGTTCTTAGTGCAAACACTTCACCTGTAGGCAGGAAGTTTATGCACTGCTTTTCATTCTGTTACACATTATTACAGAAGAAATATGGTATATAAAATAAATAAAAAAAAAGGCAAATACAATCAGTCTGCAGTAACTGCAATTATATTTTGAAATCCTGAATGGTGGCAATTAGATTTTATCTTGGAAAAAAGTAAGCCTTTTTTATTGTTTCTGTTGGCTTTGGACTGTGAATTCTGACTAGTCACACCTGACCATTTATGCCATGTTAGATATGGAGGTACTAGTTGGTATCTAGTTGGTATGAAATATTTATTACACTTTCATTCACTTAGGAATTGCTGAATCCAAAGTAAGCTTATGGAAAGACAAAACTAGAATCTCTCATTTGACTACTTCAGAAAAGTCTGTTTTCATATAATATTGTCACTTAATAATGGTACAAAAAGACAGAAAATTTGTTAAAATATTCCATCTGATAGATTGGATAGACTTTGCTGAATTTTCTCTGTAGAAACAAATAAATAAATGAAGAAACTTCCCCATCACTTTCAATAAACCCTGTGTTGGAAAAAAAATTATTAACTTTGGCTGTGCAGCACCTGAATAATCTCTACTGTCACTGAGCTTGTTCCCTGTTATCACTGTCCACCAATGATGATTTTTAAATTATTTACATTACTCCCATGAGAACTTTCATGACACAGGTCAGTGCAGACCATTTTCTCTGAAAGTAAAACCACAGTGGACAAGATAACTTCATTTTCCTAGTGCCAGGGGTCATGCCCTGGGGCCCATGACAGCTTTTCCACAAAACCAGTCACAGGGGGCTTGTGGCTCATTATTTAATCTGCCAGAGGATATATCCATGGGATTATGAGAGATTTCTAGATCTGTGTAACTTCTCTGTTATCACTTTCTGTTTGATTAAATCAGAAAGAGTTTAACAGAATTAAGGGAAGAAATACATCAAGATCAGGAACTGAGTTCTAATTTCTTCTGGAAGGAATGAAAACTCACATGTAAAGGCAATCTTATTTTCATTAACTTGATCCAAAGGTGGTACTATCAGATAAACCAAAGGTCAGGTACAACAAAAAGCCTCTGGGTCAAAGAGAACCTCTGGAGCTTAGAGGAGGGAGCCAGAGCAGACAGTGAACACAAGAACTTATAAACCATCTTGGAATCGTTTCAAGTATCTCTGCAATGTGACTTTATTGGGTCTAAGTGCAAAGTGAAGTAATCAGCTTTTAGAGATTTCATTAGAAGCTGCAAACTCATCAGATCTATTCAGATTCAAAGTAATTCAGTATAATTTTTTATTCCTTTCAGGAAAAAAAAAAATCTGACTTCAAGTTCTGTTTTTTAGTTTCTGCACCACACAGACAGAAGAGCATATCATTGTTAATGTTGCATTTCTCTTAAAAAAAAAACCCTAAGAAAACACAACATTAAGGAATTCAGGGTTTCATCTGAAATTCACTGAAGCCAGACTCGAGTGGGCTTTTATACAGGTCTTGAGCTTCCTTTAGACGACAAACACAGGAAAAAAGCACAACCCTAGCATCCTTGGTGATGACTGAAGTACAAGAAGCAAACTCTGGATCTTTTTAGGTACCTTTTAAACCAGTAGATCTCCTCGGGATCTGCAATTCCATATTCCCTTAGCTTCATCACCATCAAGGAGCTTTTCCTGATGGCTTGCTCATAGCGCTGGCTACGGGACAGGAAATTCAAATCCTCGTGCTGGAAGTCGGGGTCATTAAGAACTAAGGCCTCTGGCGACAGAACAGGAGAGGAAAACAAACTCAGTTTCCACAAACCTCAGCAGGGAGTGAGCAACGACCCAGCATTTTACCTGCTCTACCTCAAGGCATGGGTATCAAAAAATTGTGAATAAATGAGAGGTTAACGAAATGAGAATGAAATCAAAGCTCTTTGAGAGCTGCTGGCAGTCCCATTCCACACATAAACCCCATTCACAGTTCAAAGCTCTCTGGACTTGGCAGGAGGGCAATTCACTGATGTAAGACCAGCGGGGCCCTCAGCAACAGCCCCAGAGGCTCAGGCAGCCCTGTGAACTCTGAACCCCACGCAGCTCCAGCAGAAGGGCAATAATAACAGGAATAACAGGGGTTATTATCCCCCCTGTGCCAACTGGAAAACAAGGTGCCCAGAGAGCACAGACTTTCTGTGTCCCCCGCTTTGGCAGCGAAGTTTCACAACAACTCTGACAGTCCCAGCCCAGGGAAGAGCCTGGAAGTAGCTCATTAATCTCTCATAACCACATCGCGCCGGCTGACAAACAGATGACATTTGTACTGTTGGGCAAGAGCATGCTAGGAAGGAAAAAGGAGGGGACGGAGCCCATGGGAAGCGGCCTCTGAGCCTCTGGAGGAAGGGGAAACAGAGCAGTAAAAGGACACCGCTCTATCAGGGCCACCCTATGTCCTTTCTGAGGAGGAGGGGGACCAGGGACGTAACGCAGCTCCTGTTCCTCTCTAACCCCCCCTTTACGCTGTCCCTGCACCTGCCAACCCTCTCCTCACAGCTTTCTCCCCTCCTTGGCGTCTCCCCTCTCCACAAAAGCTCCTCCACACCCTCTCCCGCCCCACGACCCCCTCACAACTCCGTGGCTCCTCACCCCGCTATCCCCGCCCTGTATCCCGCTCTCCCTGGGTCTCCCCACTCCGCATCCCCTCCGAGCCCTGACCGGGGCTGTCTCTCCCGGTGCCCGCGGCCCGGGCCCTCCCTCACCGATCTCCTTGCGGCGGCGGGTGCGCTCAGGGCCGCCGTCTAGGATGTGGGTGAGCAGCTCGGGCTGGAAGGTGGCGGCGGCGCGCTCCCTCCGCAGGTCCGCGTTCACCGACATCGCGGCGGCTGCGGCGGCGGCTGTGCCCGATCCCGATCTCAATCCCAGCCCCGATCCCGATCCCGAGTCCTTCCCGTCCCCCCTGCGCCGGCCCCGCCCCCGCGTGACGTCACTGCCGCGACGCCACGTGGTTCCCGAGCGCGCGGGCCGCTGCCGTGCCCGCCCTTCCCGCGGCGGCCATGGCGGAGCAGTGAGCGCGCGTTCGGTGTGTGGGGAGCGGTGCCTCGAATCGCGCTGTGTGTGCATGGAGCAGCGCTGGGAGAGCGCCCGGCATCGGCATGGAGTGGCTAATTAAATAAACAGCTCATTAAGTGCCGTTAGCGGGCTGCGTTTGTGCACGCGTTAGGTACGGTGTTGGGTAGTGCTGTGGATCTGTGTGTAAGGGGCTGCGCTTGGGGCTGGGCCTGCCTTAAATCTCTCTGCAGGGTCCTGTAGTGGAGCTGCCGCATGCATTGGGTAGCACATTGGGTGGGCCCAGGGTATGTGGTGATTGAGGTATGGCTTTTACAACCCAAGTGACTCCGTACGTTAAAAAGTGCATTAAATGCACACTAAATGCCTTGCATCCCTGGCTGATCCACCTTGCTGCACAGTGGGATACAGGAGCAAAACCCGAGCGGTACAGAACAGCCTTTGCCCTTCTGGAGGGGCAGAATTGCCGCTGCTGTTTGAATGTTAGGTGCGGCGGGGATGCGCGGAGCCGCAGAGGGCGGGGAGGTGGGCGGGGACCCTGCCGGAAGGGTTTTCTGAGGGTCCACAGCCTGGCATGGCACTGTGGGGCCGCAGGCCGAGAGGGAGGCGTGTGCAGGGATGGGGTAAGCCGGGATCGCCCTGGTTTCCCCAGCCTCCCACAGAGTCCTCCGTGGGGCATTTTGCAAGGTTGCAACCCCGTGAGCAATGCATGGGGTGGGGAAGGGACACCAAGCATTAAAGCCACAGCACGTGTGTCAGCTCAGTGTCCCCTCTGCTGAGTAGTCAGTGTTGGAGGTCCTTGAATGCCCAGCGATGGACCCACTTGTGTGAGTGGCAGGAGTCCCTGCCTGTGCTGTTGTGCAGCTCTTGGGGTGCCCCACAGAGAGAAAAAAAGAGAGAGAGAGAAAAGCAGTAAATGAGACATGGAAACATTCCAAACACAGGCAACCTGCAATGGAGATCAGAAGAAAAATTATGCCAAAATAAAACCACTTCAGGGCACAGCCAGGGGCTGGGCTATGGCATTGACTGGGCAGGGTTTGAACTTTGCTGAAGCTGCTTTGCATTCTTGCCTTTCTGTGTGCTCTCTGCTGTGGCTGTGACTTGCCTGTGCCAGCCCTGCTCCACCGCAGGCACTCCCAGGAGGTCCCACCTGAGCCTCTCCTTTGCATTAATCCTTCTCACTCCTTGCTGTCTGCTAAACCCTGCCAGACTTCTGATGAAACTTGGCTGGCTTGGATCCAGTTTATTGTTCTCCAGCTGCAGGATCTGACACTGCCAGCACTTTTTTATGTTGCAGTAAGGAAACAGGCTTGGGATCATTCCTGAAGTCTTGCTGCATAGTGCTCTGTCACCCCAGCAGCTGAGGCTATGCCACACTCTCTGAACTGCTCAGTCACCATTCTCCCCACTTCCTGAACCTTTCTCAACTCATCCATAGCCTGAGGGAGACCCAGAGGACCTGGTGAGCTGCCTGTAGTTCATGCTGGGTTGTGTGGGACTGTGCATCTCCTCTTTGTGCCAGGATGCCCTGGGCTTGGCTCATGCAGTGAGCTGCATTAGGACTCAGCAGGGAAGCTCTTGCAGCCCCCTGGATGGTGGAACCTGGGCAAGGAAGGAATTGAAGGGCAGTAGCACAGTTTGGATCAGGTACTGGAGAAGCATGGAGTCAGAGCCTTTACTTTACTGCAGGTCAGCCGTTGTGTGAGATGCTGCCAAGTGCTGGTGTCTATTACTTCCCGTGGGAGATCAACAGCTCAGTCCCTGAGGGGCAGACACTGAGGACATTTGGCAGGTGAGAAGGGTACCCTGCTCTCCTTGCAGGCCAGGCCTTTCCTTCACTGACTGAGCAACCCCTTTTTGGTTGTAATTGGATTTCTGCACAGCTGAGCTTCCCAAATTGATCATTCCCAGGTTATGCTGCTATGACCTGGCCCGGTCTGAAGCCATTCTCACCACGCAGCACAACTCGGCTCACTACCAGGTCTGTGTTGACACCAAGTTTGTGGAGCCATTCCAAGCCCAAGTGGGATCTTCCTATATGGTCCTGGGAGAGGCTGAACACAGGGAAGGTAAATGCTCTGGAAACTGGTGCTCTTTGCTGCTCTTCATGGTACATCAGCTCTTTTGGGGTCCCTGGGTCACTGAGGGCAGCCTGGACCAAGGCTCTTCTCATGCAGCTCCTCCATCACACATGTGATTCAAGGTAGGAGCAGCCTGTCTGTCCCAGCTGACCATGAGAAGAGCCACCCTTATCTTGGTGAAAATCTGGTCCTCTGGCACTGATTTTTTTAGAAACAGGAAGCGTTTCAGCCACATTGCTGGGCTTGTGAAACCTATGCTGAAAAGCCTTCTGGCATCACTGCCAGCCACCACACCGACTGCCTTCGCCCCAAACGTGGCAGATTGCAGCAATACCTCTTTGCAAGTGACTGGATTGGTCTTTGCCATCCTTGAAAGGCTCTAATAATATATTATCCCTGCCCTCAGACATGTGAGGAATGCAGGCAGACTGTGTCATGCAGGGCACCCTGTTGTCCTTTCCTGGGGTGCCCTGTGTTCCAGCTGCTTGGTGCTTTGCGTGGGGAGCTGATCTGAGCTGAGCCATGGGATGGTGAAGCAAATTCTTTGTTATCTTGGCCACAACTGATAAAAAGCATTCACATTCATGCCAAAGAAGTCCTCAGTGCCATGTGGAAAGCAACATTTCACGTGGCCTCTGGAGAGTGACCTGCTAAGCCATTGCTGCAAAATTCCTTTAGAAAATTGTTCTTTTGGTCATCCCAGCCTAGGAGAGAGTTGGCCCCATTTTGCAGGGGTGGAGGGGGAGCAGACTGAGGTGGTGGCTGTGTCACCAAGGCTCTGTCACCAAGATTTGGCCCCTTCTGTGCAGCTCCGTGTTGCCACTTGAATGCCACCAATGAACTGTTGGTAGTAGCCAGCTTTGAGCCTCTTCTAAGCCCTCCTGTCTGCACAGGGGTGTTCAGAAATGACCTCAGACCCATCACTGCTGCTTTTCAGCCAGGGAAAACCAAAATGCATCCAGCCACAAAGCAGACAGATGGCAGACAGATGGGGGTCCTTGAATGCCCAGCGATGGACCCACTTGTGGCACTGGCACTGTTCCCCGGTGCAAGGGGAGTGCAGTGTCAGTCACCAGCATTTTGTAGCCATCAGGGCAGAGGGAAAGCACATCACTGAATTAAGCTGCTCCTGCTGCTCACATCAGTGGCAGCATGCAGCCAGACTGGTCCCCTGAAGTTCTCAGGCTATGATTATTTGCCCAGCTTGAGTCATAATGTTGCCTGAGGGAACTCTCTGTCTCCAAGCTGCTCTGTTTTCCTTTCTCCAGAAACTTCCAGTCCTGTGGTAAAAGCACGAATATTGACCTGCGTGGAAGGGATGAATGTGGCCCTGCTGGAACAAGCCATACAGGAGCAGAGGAAATACTTCAAAGAGAGGCAGGAGCAGAGGGAAAGCAGCACATCCTGACAGCAGCTCTGAGACCAGCCACACGCTGGTCCTTGCACTGCCATTTGCAACAAATATGTTAAAAGCCAATTAGGAAGTGTGTTTGCTGTGGCAAACAGCAAAGTCACTGAGCAGGGAAACACTTGAAGACTGAGTCAATGTGTGGGACTGTGGGCTGTCCATTCCTGCCCCAGGTGTCATGACTGAAAATAGCTCTGGGAAGCAGGTTTGTTGTTTGCTTGGAAGGGTGGTTAAGGAAAGGGAACACTTGGTTTACACTGCTTCTTTCATAATGCACGACATGAAGGAGTCAGAAGCTCTGAATCTGGAGTTCAGCAGCTCACCTTTGGCAGATGGGGGAAAGGGCATTAGCACAAAGTTCATGAGCCCTGCCTGGCTGCGGGCCCATGAGTGCCTGTGTTGGGGTACCCTGACTCAGCTGCCACACAAACAAGCATTCCTGGCAAAACACTCAGCCATCTGCACTGACCAAAGGAGCAAGAAGAACAAAGAGTCACTATTTTCAGTAGCACCTGCCTCTTCAGGTAGGAAGAGCTAGTATCTAAGGGGAGGATTAATTTTAATTCTAAAATAAATATTTGCAGTAGCCTGAGTACTTGTCTTTCTTCCTAAGTTTAAGAGACCTTAAATCACTATTTTTCAAGTATCTAAAGGTTTTGATTTAAATTTTCCTAAATAAAGATGAAAAAAGAAGGCAGCCTGTTATTTATTGATTAAATCCCTCATTCGTGCCAAGTTGGATGTGTTAGGCCCTGCAGAAACCCTATAGATCATGTAAGAAAATTCAGTTTTCCTCCTCCGAAGTACTGGGTGTGTATGGAAGTGGCTGGCTTTAAAAAAGTTGCGAGAAAAGGAGACAAAATTGCATCAGAGGCACTCTGGTGTAAGAACATAATGCCAGGCCCACACAGCTGTATTAAACCATTGACAGAAGGACAGAACATTGCTAATGTCACATGAGAATCAAATGTTTGTGCAAGGGAAAGAAGACTCTCCTGTACTGTGGAAATCCCCAAATTTGGATTGAGCTGTGCCTGTGGTTTGCAGTGGAATGCAGCCATCTCCAGCCTTTTGTGTTTGCACTCAAAGATTTTGAGCCTCTGGCTCAGCAATGGGTTAAATCAGCCCTTTTTTAGGTCACCTAAAAGTTGGGAGTCTTCCCTGTGGACCCACACAGCTGCAATGTCCATGCCCACCCAGAGCTATGGAGCCCCCAGGTCCTCCAGATGAAATTCCCTTTGCCTCTGCCTTTCCTGGTGCCACAATGCATAAGATTATTTTAATCTCATCTTCTGCCAGCTATAAAGTCAATGATTAATTCCCCCTCAAGGACATCTCCCAAAAGGCTGACTGAGCAGCACAACCCATGTTGGGGAGGTTCAAGGGACAATTGTGCAAGACAAAATAAAAAGGGGAAAAAAGGCCAAAAAAAAATCAACTCCACACTCAACATAAAAAACCCAAAAAAACAAACAATAAAAATCCCCCCCAAAAACCCAACAAAAAACTACAAACCAAACCAAAAAAACCCACAACCAAAAACCACCAAAAAACCACCAAACCCAAAAAAAACCAAACCAAAACCTCCCTTTCACCCCCCCAAACCAACCAAACAATAAAAAAGACATTTCTGCTGGATGTTTGCCCTCAGCATGTCCCAGCAAGCCATAATTATGAACCCAATTACTCCACCAATGCCCAGCACTGTGCAGATGGAGCGGGAGAACTTCCCCTGGCCCTGTGCAGTTCATGCCGCTTTTCCTGAGGCCCCAAAGTACATCATTACATCAATTTTCCTCAATTTTTTGCTGTAGCCAGCACACTGCACAACGTGGGCAGCAGAACTAGCAGCTCTGGGCAGCTTCTGTGTAGCCCTGTCCACCTGAAGCTCCTCAGAGCCCACCAGGCCGCCCTGTCCACCCACAGCTGCCCCAGGCAGGTCCCTGAGGGCTCCTCAAGGCTGAGGGAGAACCAAGGTGGGACCCAGACCCCGGCAGCACCTCAGGGAACACCTGGAGGGCTCAAACGCTTTCCCCACATTCCCCTTTTTGTTTCCCGCTTTTTTCCCTCCCCTCAGAGCGCGGTGCTGGCTGCCCCCAGTGCCGTCACCAGGCCGAGGCAGCGCCATGGAGGCCATCCAGGCGTCGTTCCAGAAGGTGGAGAAGATTGGGGAGGGCACCTATGGCGTAGTGTACAAGGCTCGCAACAAGCGCACGGGGCAGCTGGTGGCCCTCAAGAAGATCCGCCTGGATGCGTGAGTGGGGCAAAGCCCTGGGCCTGCCATGGTGCCAGGCCTGTGCCCAGTATGGTGTGGGAGGCACAGAAAAGACTCACATGAGGAGAAAAATGGTGTCTCTAGGATTAAAATAATCTTGTGTACTGTGGCACCAGGAAAGGCAGAGCCAAAGGGAGTGCTGTCTGGAGGGCTTGGGGGCTCTGTGTCTCATGGGCATTGAAGCTGTGTGGGTCCACAGGGAAGACCCCAACTTTTCGGTGATCTAAAAAAGGGCTGATTTAACCCTTTGCTGGGCCAGCAGCTCAAAATCTTTGAGTATGAGTGTTTAGGGCCTGACCTGGCACCACTTGGCCCCGGGTCCATGGCACAGAGCAGGGGGAAGCGGCTGCCATGTTGTGAGGTAATATCTCCCTCAGGGCTGTGCTGTGGGGGTCAGGCAGGGTCAGCCTTGGACCTTCAGGGTGGGACTGAGCAGATAAAAGCTTATTTCTGTTCCCCTGGGTCATCCCTGAGCTGTATGCACAGTGAGGGGGGTCTGCCTGGAGTGGGAGCCAATATGCCCCCCACAGTGGCCTTCAGCATGGGAGAGGTGGCTGCCTGAGGGGCGAAGAGCTTTCAAGCTTTCATTTTCCCCCCTACCTCCAAAAAGAAAGACCAAGGTAATTAATACATTATTGCTTCTCTAAATGCACTCTTAGATGCTTCCAAAGAAGCTCTGGCCCAAGGCTTGCATGTCTAGGTCATCCCCTCCCTCTCCTTGCCCACAGCTCCATTTCCTCTGCCTCACCCCAGCCCACCCCAGTCACTGCTGCACCCCAAACTCAAATGCTCCCTTGGGGTACAGTGGAAGAAGGAAGGGACACAGAGCCCCATTGGTCTGAGGGATCCCCGTGGGTTATGGGGTGCAGTACAGTCTGTCTCTGCCACAGGGAGTCAGAGGGCGTCCCCAGCACTGCGATCCGAGAAATCTCACTGCTGAAGGAGCTGAAGCATCCGAACATAGTCAGGTAAGACCTGGATGCACCCTCTCCACCAGCTCATCCATGAGCTCCTGCTCTGGAAGCAGGCAGCAAGGAGGTTTTTCTGTCATTCCCCAACTGTATAGCAGGACCAAAATGCACAGGAAAATGCAGGAATCCCTTAAACTTCCCTGGCTTTCAGCAATACCTCATGGGTCTGCCACTTCACCAACACACTGCTGCTGCCCCATCCAAGATTCTGCCCTTAAACTGCCCCTCTCTTCTTCAAAGGACCAGCAGAGCAGAGGCATGTGTGGGAGGAGGGATATTTGGGTATTTGCAGAGGTTTGGATCAGATATTGAAGGGAGAGCCTGTACTTCTTTTACAGGCTCCTGGATGTCATACACAGCCAGAAGAAGCTCTATATGGTGTTTGAGTATCTGAATCAGGACCTGAAGAAGTACATGGACTCATGCCAAGCTGGAGAGCTTCCTTTAAGCTTGGTCAAGGTACAGTGTGGAAGGAATGCCAACAGGCAGGGCAGACAGCATGTGCCTGCTGCCTTCTGCTGGGCAGAGCCATCTCAGAGCTGCTTAGACTGTGCCTGGAAATGATTCCTCAGCCTCCCAGATCTCAAACACTTCAGCTGGGAAACCCTCATGGCACTATTGCTCAGAAATGTTTATTTCCCAGCAGTTTCCAGGCTCTCCAGCCTATCCTGCTGCAGAACAAAGGAGGGATCTGTTGCTAATTGCCTTTGTAGAGAGCAATGGGTGGGTGGAAGAGAAAAACAGTGCCGGGACCAGAGTCCCTCTGTCCCCACGTAGTGTGGCAGCAGTTTGTGTGCATTGCTGAGTAGTTTATGGGAACCTGATGTTGCACTGTAACAAGGGCTTTCTTCTCATTCAGATCTATAAGAGATCCAAAGTGCATTGGTTCACACAATCCAGAGTTCAAAGTGTTTTCATCATGGCTTTATCTGAAATCTCCTCTCTCCTCAGAACTACCTTTTCCAGCTGCTGCAGGGTGTGAGCTTCTGCCACTCGCACAGGGTCATCCACAGGGATTTGAAGCCTCAGAACTTGCTCATTAACGAAGCAGGAGCAATCAAGCTGGCTGATTTTGGACTGGCAAGAGCTTTCGGGGTCCCCCTCCGCACGTACACTCATGAGGTAGTGTTGAGGCTCCCTGAGTGGGGTACAAATCCACAGTGGGTGAACAGGAGCAGCAGCAGCAGAAGTTGCTCATCTATAAAAGAGGCACAGCCATGGAATGTGCTCTTAACCTCACCTGCAGCTAAGGGACCTCCATGTCCCCACAAGGTGTGCTGACTGTCTGCTGGAGCCAGGCTGCCAGCTGGGCTCCCACCTTCTCTCCACAGGGTACACTTAATTTGTTCCAGAGTGTGTAATTGAAGAATGTTCTGTTCATCCCAACCTTGCAGGCACTAAAGTGTCTGTAAATTCAGCAAGGCCTTAGCATGCTCTGATTTGTACAGTCACTGCATTCCAGCTGAGAAGGGAGGGTCCCACCCCTCTGGTTTCATCCAGGGAAAGCAGACACAGTTTGTTTGTGGGTTCCTTTCCAGGTGGTGACTCTGTGGTACCGAGCCCCTGAGATACTGCTGGGATGCAGATACTACTCGACCCCTGTGGATATCTGGAGCATTGGCTGCATCTTTGCAGAAATGGTAGGATGGGTTTAAATAATCTCTTTCATGAGCCAGAGGAGGCAGCTGCAGTGGGAAGGAAGGATGAGATACAGAACATCTGGGATACTGTGTTCCCACCCTGTCCTGGGTTTGCTTTATGGAAAGTCCACCCTAAGGGTTAGCTGGTCCTTATCTCAGAAGGAAACCTACCACCCTGGGGCCTGGCAGAAGTTCCAAGTACACTGGAACATGATGCCTCTCCTTGCAAAAGGGGTAACTTCAGCCTCGCCTCACTGCTGCAGCATTTTGACTCTGGGAGGAGATGGCTCTTCCAGATGTCCCCATGGTGGGCTGCAGAGAACAAGCACTCTCGTGGCATGACAGAATGGATCTCCTAGGGATCCATACTCCCCTTGGAAGAGCTGTGGCTAGCCCTGCAGCATAATAGCACTTTTCCTCTTTCCCAAAGTCCCTGAGCTGCAGAGCAGGGAGGAGGGAGCTGGCCAAGAGTGGGAGCAAGCAGTTAGGCACCTGTGATGTTCCCAACCATTGCCTGGCAGAATCACTGCATTGCAACTTCCCTGGTCTGTGCAGTGTTTGCACCTGCTGGGACAGAGGGCTGCTTGCAGCAGGAAATAGGGCACACAACTGATGGAAAGGTGGGAACTGGCCTTTTCTTTTCTTCCCCCAGATGACCAGGAAGGCCCTGTTTCCAGGGGACTCTGAGATCGATCAGCTCTTCCAGATCTTCCGC